CTTTAACTAACAGATGAGTCTCAGCCAATCAGAGCAGCTGAGCTTCAGTCAGCCCAGAGTTCAAGCCATGCTCAAAAGACAAGTAGAAGCTAAAACCCAACAGCCTGTTTCTGTGTCTGGCTTCCACTTCCTGTATGTCACTTCCTGTTCTCTAGCTATAAATATGACCTGCACATGTGGTGAGACAGGACATTTTAAGCAATTTTTGATCAATTTTGGGAGCTATTTTTAGTTAAGAATCATAAATAAAAACAGGTTAATCTAGAAAATAAGATTTGTTGCCATTTTATCTTTTGCCTTATTGAAATTCAAATGTAGAAACACAGGTAATGATTTTCAGATGGACTACGTGATTCACCAGTTTGATAGCAATTGGTAAACTTTAACGAAATTCTATTTACAAGCCCATAGGGCCCAATTTTTAATTTAAAATAAGAAATCTAAGTGTCCATTTGCCCCTTAAATTTATGAAGTTAACAAAGAGAGTTTAAAACTTATGAGCTATTAACAACAACAAAAAAAGAGCCAAAATGTAAATGAGCCAGAAGATAGAGGGAAAATGTGGTGAATTTACTATTCCTGAAGAAAGTAACACAAGTTCCTTTCTGAGTCATATATTCAAGTTAGAAACCAAATTCTATGATGCCCTGGGAGAAAAAGTGGATGATAACACACAGTCTATAATTGAAAACAAGGGACTGAATACCCTGGAGAAATAGCAAAATTACATCACAGATGACTTAGCAAAATTGTGTGTTGAATAGGTCTTCTTTGGAAATGTAAGTGTTTTCACGTACTCTGTAAGAAGCGTATCTTATTGAAGACATCTGGAAGGTAAGAGTGAGGGAGACAGTACATCCTGAAATATCTTTTTGAATACAGGTACACTTTATTCAACAGCTACGTGTTAGAAATTCTATTATCTTAAAGTCCTCTTAGTAGGGAGGTGGTTTTTCATGTTGAGTTGAAACCCATCCATTTATGTTCTCTGTAAAATCAGAATAACATTTTTTTATATTTATCACAAGTTTTTCTTCCATAATTAAATGAAATCATACCTATGAAGATGTTGAGTGAATGTAGGGAATATTATAATATCATAAACTATGCTAAGTTGAGAATTATCGCATGACTTTCCAGTGGGTTTGGTTTACTTGTTCATGTTTGCAATCTTTACACGTGTGTGTAGACCTCTGGATGGATTAAGAGCATGTAAGAAACAAGCATATAAGTTACTGGCTATGGTGACTCAGGAACCAACAGTCCAGTAAAGAAAATAGCATCTTCAAAACTACCTGCTGGTGAGTGAAGGGTGTGTCAATGTGTACATTCGTGGTTACATCTGCCTTATGAATACATAATGTGACACACATTTTTAACATGGACTCATTGTATCCTCGTAACAGCTCTGCAGGAAGTGGGGGAAATAAAATGAATCTCAGACATCACTTAATTTGCCTAGTGACACGGGAGCTGGAGAAGGAAGAGCATAAACCCGAGTTTGCCTGCCATGAAAGTTCTTGATCTATGCTATTTATGCAGAGCAGAGGGCCACACATCTTCTCTGAGTTCAAGAGAGGCAGAGCTTGTTGTCTATGGAGTGGAAAAAATAAAATGCATGTATGTAGAAACGAGAAACAGATGTGAGTTACAGAGGTAAAGGACTGTAAAAAGCAAAGTCATTTCATGTAAGAGAAATCTGAGAAGAGACCGAGATCCCTGTGTGTGTTTCATAACCTGTAAGCAGAAGTGCACAGGTTTGCCCTGGGAACAGAGAGCAGATGACTTGAAATGGAGCGAAGCAACTTCCTGCAAGTCTTCCCAAACAACCGTGAGGTGGGCGTCTGTTCTGCAGGAAATGTGAGCCTTTGAGACGTGGAACCTTTCAAGAAGGTGATACAGTCCTTTAGAGCTTTAGGAAAATCCAGAAGTAAAGTATTGGGTGGTCTGAAGAATAAGGCGAATTTTATCCACAATCTCATAAGATGCAGATGCCAAAGGACAGTTTTTTAAGCGTTTTTTCTTGAGTGTTTCCAAAGTACCACCACAATCCCATGTGAAATGTGTCTTGAAGCTTCTGGCTCTAGGCAGGAGGATGTATTTGGTGAAGACATTTCAAGTTTTGGCAAGTACAGTTTTTGCGTATCATGTTTATCTGCACCACGGTATATAGTGCTTGAACCCCTGGGCAGTCATCCAGGGGCCATGGCAGGGAAGGCAGTGGGCAGTGCGTCCAGGGGCCACAGCAGGGAAGGCAGGGGGGCGGGGGGCCAGGGGGCCACGGCGGGGGGGGGAAGTAATGTATTGGATGGTCTGAAGAATAAGGTGAATTTTATCCAGAATCTCATAGGATGCAGATGCCAAAGGAGAGTTTTTTTAAGCATTTTTTTATGATTGTTTCCAAAGTACCACCGCAATCCCATGTGAAATGTGACGAAGTTTCTGGCTCTAGGCAGGAGGATGTATTTGGTGAAGACATTTCAAGTTTTGGCAAGTACAGTTTTTGCATACCATGTTTATCTGTACCAAGGTATGTAGTGCTTGAACCTCAGGGCAGTCATCCAGGGGCCACAGCAGGGAAGGCAGGTGGGCAGTGCGTCCAGGGGTCACAGCAGGGAAGGCAGGTGGGCAGTCATCCAGGGGCCACAGCAGGGAAGGCAGTGGGCAATGCATCTAGGGGTGACAGCAGGGAAGGCAGGTGGGCAGTGCGTCCAGGGGTCACAGCAGGGAAGGCAGGTGGGCAGTCATCCAGGGGCCACAGCAGGGAAGGCAGTGGGCAATGCATCTAGGGGTGACAGCAGGGAAGGCAGGTGGGCAGTGCATCCAGGGGTCACAGCAGGGAAGGAGCCGAGCCGGCGCTGCCCCAGGGGGAACACAGCACCAGAGAAAGCAGGACGGACATGAGACCAGAGAATGGAAACACGCTGCCTTGGGCCAAAGAAATACTCGTAAGCAGGTCTTTCTAAAGGAAATGGAAGAGACTGTTTTAATGAGCTAGAGTAGCCTAGAGCTAAGGTAGGAACAGGCTCTATTCCCTACAATACTGTTTAATTTAGGAAACAATTAGCGGTTATACAAGCTGTATTCTAGAAAATATTCTGAACACTGTAAAATATCATTTCATTTAAGTTGTCATAATATCTTATAATATAGACATTCTAAAAATCCAAACTTAGGATCAGGAGGTGGTGCAGTGGTTAAGGCACTAGACTCCCACATGGCCAACCACAGTTCAAGTCCCAGACCTGGCAGCCTGAAACACACCAGGCGCGTGTGTGTGCCCAAAACCCTGAGGGGAGGACGGTGGGAGAGGGCCTGCAGCAGGGGCATACCCCTCCTGAGGAGTGATTTCTCGGTTTTTGTCTCTGTCTCTCTCTCTCTAGAGAATGCATGCAGCCTATAGCAAAAATCTCCACACACACACACACAAAATCTAAGTTTACAGTGAAAAATAAAGCTAAAATTAATCATTAAAGTCACACAAGTAGAATAGTCCGTATCAGGAGTTTTAAAAATGCTCTTCAACTCACTCTTCCCCTAGCCTGAGAGTTCAGTAAAATGTTCTGTATATTGACTCAAGATGGGGTGAGGACAGATGATATTGGCAAGGATCAGTTCCTGCATGTCAGCGTCACAGTTTCTTCCTTTACCCAGCCTCTGACGGCCCACGTCTCACTCCGGGCTCTCCCTACGCTTTCCTCAAAAATGGTGTTAGGCGGATAACGATATGGTGGATCTATGAAAAACACGGTGGAAGTCTCATGGGGATCCCAGTGACTCCTCCGCAGTTTCCTTATCTCAGCATCAATACGAAGGGACGCACTACACACACGTGTGCGTTGACGTGTTCGAACCAGATTACATGACTCAGGTCTTCCCTTTAAATATCCCATCAACCTTAAAATGAGCTTTATTCATCAGCCCACGAATAAAATTTGATCTCCAGGGAAATAATTTTCCTGCATTGGCATAATTCTGCAGGTGCACTGACCTAGGAGCGAAGTCCGTGGTGTTTCCGAGACGCTTCCCTGGCAATTCCGCGCATGCCCACCCCGCGGAAGCCACTCAGCATGCCCTGGGGGAACCGGACGCCCAGCTCTGACTTCATCCTGCAGGGCATCTTCGACCACAGCCCCGCGCACACCTTCCTCTTCTCTCTGGTCCTGGGCATCTTCTCCGCGGCCGTCCTGGGGAACTCGGCGATGCTGCTCCTCATCTGCGCGGACGCCCGTCTGCACACGCCCATGTACGTCCTGCTGGGCCAGCTCTCGCTCATGGACCTCATGCTCGTCTGCACCACGGTGCCCAAGACGGCCGCCACCTACCTGTCTGGAAGCAAGGCCATCTCCCGGGCCGGCTGCGGGGCCCAGATTTTCTTCTACGTGTCCCTGCTGGGCGCCGAGTGCTTCCTGCTGGCCGCCATGGCCTACGACCGCTACGTGGCCGTGTGCCGCCCGCTGAGATACGCCGCGCTGCTGCGCCCTGGCGTCTGCGCCCGCATGGCCGCGGCCTGCTGGCTGCTGGGCGCGCTGGACGGCACCGTGGAAGCCGCCGTCGCGCTGTCGTTCTCCTACTGCGGCTCCCGGGAGGTGCCCCAC